ATCCATGCTAGACAACAAAGCATGGTGGTCATGCTTGCAAAGATTTATCATTCCCCCACAGAAGATTTTGGGGGAATAGAGATTCATCACATGAGCTAAGGTTAGCTCCTCCCCAGTTTCTTGGCACAAGTGTGGGAGGTAGGCAACTCCACACTGAAGGACTTACCTAAGCCAAACATACCTGGTAGCAAAGGCAAAACTCTGCAATCATGGAATCAAGCTCTCCGCTCAAAGAAAACGCACCCAAAGTAAAGCGATACGTGAAAAAGTATGTAAAACCTTCCTTGGGAAGGGTCACTCGCTTCGATAGATCAGGAGAGATGATTTCCAACTCATTGCAGCGGCAGTCCTCTTTCACAACAGGAATACTGGAAGGTCGAATGGAAGAAGGGTACCTACTAACAGCCCATGTACGAGGGTTAGCAGTAGGAAATTTTTCTTCAAAATCCTTCGAAGTACTAAGCCTTCTTGGGATAATAGAATCCACTGTTGGAGGAACAGAAACTCGGCTTTGTTCTTATTCTTCGTAGAACCACCACGTTTGGAGGAAGAAGCCATTGGAAAGGAAGAAGATAAAGAGTTTGTGTTTGAAGAAAATTAGAAAATGGATGGAAAACAAGGATGCAAATTAGAAGCTCAAGCAATTGTGAATTGCAAAGGACAAGAAAGTTGCATATAAGTAAAATTTTGGCGGCTAAATTCATGGCCATGATTACCTCGATAACCGGCTAAAGATATGTTGAATCAGGGGATGGCGCGTGTTTGAGGCATTAAATGCGGACGTGCGTCTAATCAACTGTTAGAGATCTTTAGAGGGAATTATAGTAATTTTCGCCAAAAAAGTATTTCTACCAACTTCCCGGTAATACAAAGTTATGTCATCAGAAACCAGACGGACTATCTGTATAGGGTAAAATATGATATGACGCGCGACTGACTAAAAGGAGGACACGTGGAATCCAAGATGGAATGGCTAAGGACCGAACGCAGCCACTGCGCTTGTCACCGGAATGGATAACGTTCATAAAAGTGTATTATATGCTCTGCGCCCGATAGCATTTATTAAGAAATATTCTACAATATTTAAGAGTGACGGTCTGTTACAAAGAATTTGGCATTTACGCTCAATGTTACATCTTCATCAATGACCCACATAATTGACATTAAAAGAGGGCGCGATCCTAGGACCTTCTTCCTTAGATGTAACCATAAATAGTGAGCTCAGTTATCATTGTAAGGGATACGAAATTTCTGGCAATAACATATATTATATTCTATACAAAGCTTTATACAATTTCACTCTCTTGATTTTTGATCCCATCATTGTTGTGTTCAGAAACCGTGTTCACGGAATCATTATCTTTGCTATTTCATCTACATTCCAAGACTAAGTACTGCGTATTTCTTCAATTATTATATTATTTCAGGATTAAATTAGTTCACTTGTCTAGAAACTACGTATAAATTCAACTGCACTGTTTTACGGGTAAACACTTAGCCGCCCACACCCACCACCCATTTTGTTATAAGTAGGGGTGTATATGGACCAGGTTGGTTCGGTTTTTATCAAAACCAAACTAAACCAACTATATCGAGTTGGATTGGTTCGGTTTTGTCGGGTTTTTCGTTACTTAAATATTATTTCAATCTTACTTTGTTAAATATTTGATAAGTAAATATATATTTAGTAAAAATATAAAAAATTGACAAAAATTAACACATAATAGTTATTTTTTTAGTCGTCTGACAATAATTCTTCGTTGATGTACACTTTCTGGTTAACCGAATTTAGTAATTAAACATAAAAATAAATATGATACCTAAATATTAATAATCACTTCACATTAGAAAAAGATATAAGAATTTAATAGATCTTAACATATGATATAAATATGTAAGAACAAAGAGATAGTCGCATTTCAGTAACACTTGATAAGAAAGTGATCATACAACTCATTATTTAAGGTCATTAAATATGGAACACTTCATATTCTATTAAAATTTATATCCCGCAAGAGATTTCCAAATATTTTTAGACATTTTTAAAAGAAAATTATATATAAAATCTTAAAAGTATATATAAAAATTATATATTTATATGTCGGGTTGATTCGGATTTTTTTACTCAATATCAAACCAAATCAAGCCAAACCAAGTCGGGTTTTTTAATCGGTTTGGTTTGACTTTTCAGTTTGATACGACTTGTCGGTTCAGTTTGTACACCCTAGATGTAAGAACACAAAGCACTCTTTCAACACCCCCTAAAAAATATAAAAAAATAAAAAAGGAAACTTGAAGATCTGCTAAAACTGACGAAAAGCAATAGAATTTTTAAGGTATTCTGGATTCTCATATCTATTGTGCTTCTATGTTTATAGGCAGAAGTAAATTACTTGGGACATTTTTCTCATCCTCACCTTGTAAATTTGTTCATATATTGCTTGGAGAATAAACACCTGATTCTGGCTTATGACTTAATGCCTCGGGGCAATTTGGAAAATCATATGTTTAGAAGTGAGTTGAAGCCAAATTGGATTGGACCATGCTAGTATGTTAGGCCAATTGGCCATAAATCGCTCTCGACCATGCTAGTATGTTAGGCCAATTGGCCATAAATCGCTCTCAATCTTAAACTACTAGAATTGAGCTAGAGTAGCCTTTCCCACAATTACAAGTGTTTACCTTTTGATTAGCATGTTTTTTGCTAGTGCAGTAAAATTTTGGAAGGAAACTTTGGGGCGCACAATAACCATCGGCTTATTCGGAAATTGAACACTATTCTGGACATATCAAAATACGAGCCTAGCATACAATTAGGAGCGGAGCTAGTGTTTTGACTACGGGTTTATCAAACGCATTAACTTTGGCCCAAACATCGTATTTGTCTTGAAAAATTTATTAATTATTTATAATTCAATAACTTAAAAGACTTAAAATTTCGAACTCATAAGTTTAATAGCTCCGCCTCTGTATATAATATACATTCCGCATTTGTATCAAATCAAACAATTTTAACCTTATAAGTTATAACTAAAACAACACTTCACATTATTTAGTTATGATTAACTGATAAATATTTATATAAAAACATATATCTTGCTTTAATTGGTTTAACATAAACACCAAAATAAGTTTTTCTTAATCGTTATGCTTCTATAAATGTTGATCTGGGGTTGCAGACTCATTTAGAAATAAATTATGATGGAGCATTCGGTTGGACTTCATCCTCATTGTTTGATTTAGTCAAATTTATGTTTGTTTACTTTTATGAAACTTCTATCTAGAATTCTTTTGTTTACAATATCTTTTATAAAGTAAAAACGAGAAAAAAGAAAATTAAGAGAAGAAAAATGCACAATATATGGAACATTCTATATTAGATCAAGCTGCAAATAAGATATATAAATTTTATGTCTGGGACTTTTTTATTAAAAAAAAAAAACTATGTCTAAATCGTCTCTCTAGTAAATTATACTGTTCAATAAAATAAATGACAGGACTTTATCTATCTTACAAAAATAGTTGTGTCTTTATATATCTACTCCATTATTTTACCGCATGAAATAAACAAATAATTATGATTGAAACTCAACTTCTAATCAATCTAGTAAATAGATATTGTACTACATAATTTGATTTTGTCCCCTCGTGCTTGGAGCGGTAGCCTAGTTTCATATTCACGTTTGTATTTGTTTAGGGTAAATGTCATCTTTCTGTTTGTTTTCTTCTTTAAATTTTACATAGAGAAAAGGGAAGAGAAAGAGGATATAACTTTATGGGTTTCGACCTTTCCACCGTATTGGCGTAAGGTGGACGTGTGTAATATGCTAGAATCCTATTTTTTTTGTATAAAGTTTATCGCCTGTTTGAAGAATTAACCCAAACAGCCATTTAACCACTTAAACCAAAAATAGTCGGTTGAGATATAATATATGCATAATATATGTATAATTATGTATAATCAATGTATAACCTATGTATGTGGTTAGAAAAAATAAACAATGAATATCGCCGGCTATTTGTGTAAAGAACCCATTATTTTTTACGGCGACTAAAAATATATATTTTTCAAAATTTTCCCTAAATAAATATTCTAGCTCGCCTTATTTATAGGTAATGCCGGCCAGTTCAAGTTCAACAAAGGCTGAACTCTGAAGCCATAACAAGACAAATTCCTTGCTATATGAACGCCATGACGATCTTTTCTTAGTTAAGCAAACCTCTTTCTAGTTTTGTATTAATTAATGGTATCTATTAGTAGGTTAAAGTCATTGAATCTATAAAATATTCTAGAATAAACCAACAAACATTCCTCTTCTCTAAGTTCTCCCTCTTCATTTTCTTAAAACGAATTAAAAACACATCGCTGGCCAATTCTTTCCACGTATAAACTGCGTAAGAATAATAGTATGAACACTAGTGCACATAGAATTTGAAATAGTTCATGAACCTATTCTCAAGTAATCTAATTAATTAATGTCTCCCCCAAAATATGTTAATTAATTTTATGATTGTAGATAAATAAAACGTCACAAGAGCCTACACACCTTTCTGTTTATACTTTATACCAATGGGTGACCAAAAATGGCTTTAGCATTAGACAATATCGTTTAAATAGGTGCAGGGCTAGAATATTAGCTATAGGTTCGGTCAAATAGTTTAATCAAATTTTTATTTATATTAAAAAATCTATTAAATATATAAAAAACTTAAATCCAAAACTCAATTACTAACTCATTACGTCTATTATCATAAAATTTAAAATCCATAAAGTGCCTCTGCATTTAAACAACAAAGGTCAACCAATAACCTCATCTCCCCCTTGAAATTTCTTTTACTTTCTGCACGTCTCTCATATTAGAATGGTTGATTTTAACTTCCTCAACTTCCCCCACCTGGCCCCACCACCAAGATTCCACATCATGGGTCCCACCTATTTTGTTTTTCCTATTTTCCTTATTTATACACAGTCCCTATATAAATGGGATGAATATATATCCCTTAAACCACATACTTCAAGAAAAATGGAAGGTTCAAAGAATTCAAATTTTGAGATGGAAGCAGCAGCTGAAGAAAGTGGATGGACAACTTATTTGGAGGATTTTTCAATGAAGCAAAGGGAAAATAATAGCTCATGTAATTCTGATAGTTTTGGCAGTCCTTCTTTGTTATCTGATGCTGCTTCTCATGCTGCATGGAAGATTAATTGTAATACAAATAATACTAATCAAATTCCAAATGCATGTTCTCCTCCTCCCATGGGTGGTTCACCTTTTCTTAAGAGGTTGAATTTGAAGAATAAAAGAAACAAGAAAATTTCTGATCCTGATTTGGAAGACACTGCTAGCTCACCTGTCAATAGTCCAAAGGTCACCTACAACCATCTCCTAATTTTTCTTTATGTTTCATATTCTTTTTTTGTTTGTTTTTGTTTTCCTCCACAATATTTTATATGGTATCTTTACATAAATAGCTAGACGAATTACTATTTATTTTTCTACCGATATGCTAATTATCTATGATTATACACATATTATATATATTATATATCCATCAGCTATCTTTTGTTTAAGCGATTAGATAAAGGAGTTGGATGAGCGGCTACTTAAATTATTAAACCTTCATTTCATATTGAGATATGTTGCTTTATTATGACAGGTAAGCAGTTTTAAGCAGATGGACACCAATTACAGAACTGAAAATAGTAGTATTGGATATTTCCAGGTAATTAATCTTTTCCTTTTCAAATTCCAACATTTACCACTTATATATTGATCTTTATGGAAAAATAAAACTATGGTTTGTGGGGTTTTCCCAGAAGACTTGAACCATGTCTAAAATGCTACTTTTGGGTGTTTGATTATTGTGTAGGGAAATGAAGGTGGCTCTGGACAAATCCAAGAAATGCAAACAGTTGAGATAAACAGCACATCTTTTGATGAAAAAAACAATGGGTATATAGAACTAAAGAAGAAGGGACTTTGCTTGGTACCTTGGTCCATGATAGTCAACCACCATGGCTGATGTAAATCTTCTTTTTTTGTACTTTTCTTTTCATTTGTTTTTTTTATGTGTAGGGGGAGAAGGAAGAAGGGGAGTGAAAACATGGTATGTGAATTGTGAAATGTAAAAATTGTTCCTACCATTATTATTGTTACAAAAGGAAACTAGAGAAAAGAGGAAGCAAAATTTGTAAATAGAGCTTCTCTTTCTCTTGGACACGTTTTATGGGAAACAGTAAAGTATTACTATTGTTTATAGCTGCCATTTGAAATGTTTGTATTTTGGGAAATCTTTTAATGACAGAAGAAAATCAGGTTCCATTTACCCCCCAAAAAAAAAAGTTGCCTTTTCCATATTTTCTGCTAAAAGATTGAGTTGGTTGAGAAAGATTTGATTTAACAGTTAATTTATGACATAGGTTCAATTTGCTGGTTAGCTAGTGATTAGGGATGTACAAATAAAACTGATAATCACACCAAATCGATAATTCGAGTCAAACAGAGGAAAAAAAATCGATTATAGTTCGGTTTGATTTGATTTGATTTCATTTGGTGTTGGGAAAAACTCCGACCATAATTGATTTGTTTTAGTTTTAACTTAAAAAAAATCAAATTGAAACCAAACAAACCCGACATTACATTTATAGAAATTATAAATATATTTAATACATAAATATATTTATTGTACTTACCAAAAAAATATTTATTGTACTTACCAAAAATATATTTATTGTAGTGTAATTTATAAATATTTTAAAAATATTTTCATAATTTTATCTTTTAAAGTATTATTTCAAGCTTGGGCTTAAAATTTTTAAATGCTCCAATAAATTTTATTGCCCATAAATATTAGTAACTCAAATAAAGTTCAAACCAAAATTAAATACATACTAATGCTATAAAATACATTCAATTTAATACTAGGAAGGATAATAGTGTTGGATATCTATTTTTTAGTATTTTTATGATTCAGATAAAATGCATTAACTTATTTATATTTTTTTCTTTAGTGTTTAATCATGTAATAGTACTTATTAATTGTACTAACTTTAGCATGGTTTAGTACTTTTAGTTTATATTCATTTTTATTATGGCTTATTCATTAACAATATTTATTTATGCGATTTTATTATCTTTATTGTTAAATATTTTAGTACAATGTCATGACTCATCTCATATTTTATGTTATTATTTTCTGGAAAACATCTTATGTAGTTGTGTTTTACTAGGACTAAAGAAATATTTGGAACAGAAATTCTATGTTTCATGCTATGAAGACTTTTACCGAAAAAAATCCGAAAACCCGAAAAAATCGACATTAAAAAATCCGACTTTGTTGGTTTTGTTTGGTCTTTAGATTTAATACCCGGATACAATTGGTTTGGTTTGATAATTATAAAATACGAATCAATCCGACCTATTTACACCCCTACTTGTGATCACAACTAGCTAGCTACAAAATTCTTTTAAATAAACATGGATTTTAAATTTGAAGCTTTGCTTATTTTTCCCATTAGTCCTTTTGCCAAATTTAGGGATGGAACCACTAGCTCAATTGGTTATGGATCTAATTAATGCCATTAATTTTAGAGGAGAATATGAGGTTCTCGGGGTGAACTATAGCCAAGTAAAGGTAACGCAACTAACACACGACTAAAACAGCTTCAAATTCATAAAGTTAACAGACAATTAATGATCGTCCAACCTTAATTAATACCAGCAAGTTAGTACTCCGTACATGCTCTGCGTATAATTGGCATGACAGAAGTCATTTTAATATTTTCTACAAAAATATTCTTTTGAGGAATATTTTCTTAGAAAATGTGATCCTCTTTTTCGTGGGTGAATGAGAAATATTCCTTTTAAAAAGTATATATTAAAAAGTAATAAAATATTAGCAAATCGCATATGTTTTGATAAATTACTTGACTAACAAAGATTAATAATAAATCTATAAGTTAGTTAAAGTAAGTAATATGAAGTTAAACGTTAAGATAGTTCTACGGAGAATGACTTCCCTTGATAAGTGAAAGAAGCCATTTTTCCCATTTTGATGGAAAATGTTTTCTACGAAAAATGACTTACATCACACCAAATCAGAAAATGACTTTCTCATAAAAAAATTTCGGAAAATTATTTTTCCTTGTAGCAAACACACTCAGAATGTGTGCATATAGTTTCTACAATTTTTAATTGCTATATATATAATAGGTGCCTAAACTATAGTAAAGAAACTACTTTAGCTCTATGATATTTAAAGTTGATTGTGGGAATTCTGGGTTAATTATAGGTTAAGGACTTTAAGACAGACTGATATAAATATTAGTGGCTAAGGATGGAACCATTTGAATTTTAGTTGAGCTAAAGTGGCGGAAAAAGTAGCTAGCGGTTTTATTTCAAATTCTGTAATTCCTTTTGTTGTATTTCAAATTCTAGCACTTATAAATAGAGCATGACATTTGTAATTCATATAATTATCATGATATAAGAAAATCTGAGTTCATATCTCTCCTTCTCTGCTTCATTCTCTTCTCTTGTTCCTTTTTCTCTTCTTTTGCTACCGTTTCATTAGTTTATCAGTTGATACTCGACAATTGATTATCAATTGGTATCAGAGCTCGGTGAATTATGGGACCTCGACGAGCAGTTGATGTGATAACTGGTGAATTATCAGAGCTCACCTGGGGGATACTCTTCAACTAGGAAGCATGTGTATGACAGTCCAGGTCTCAAGAGATATCAGTATCACCAGACTACACATTCACCTAGATTGATTTCACCTACTAATTCTACCTCTATTGTTCCTAAAACAAGGAGAACTAACTCTCCTGCTGAGATGCAAGTAGGAGGGCTCATGGTCTTTGTTACTTCTGTGATGATAAGTTTTCTTCTGGGCATAAATGAACTCTCCCAAAGCAAATGTTTGTCTTGGAATTGGAAGTTCCTGAGTGTGAACTTACTGACAGTGGTAATAGCAACAGTGAGACTGATTCACCAAGTGAAGAGTGGTCATCTCCTGGGAGTGAGCAGCCTTTCATCTCCTTGTGTGCTATAATAGGAATTCAAGGTGCTCAAACTATCCATGTTACTGGTTATAGTGACAAGAGGCCTATTCAAATTTTATTGGACGGAGGTAGTGTACATAACTTCATTGACTCTGAATCAGCCAAAAGGTTGGGATGCACTGTGGTTCCAACTAAGGAAGGATATGTCAACCTAGGTAACAACACAATGAAATCCGCTTCTGGTGTAGTTAGGAATTTCCAATGGATATTGGAAGGTACAACATATGAATCTGACTTGATTGTATTTCCAGTTGGGAAGTATGATTTGGTCCTGGGTGCCTTATGGATGAGAACTCTAGGACCAGTGATTATGGACCATTCTGTTCTTACCATGACCTATAACTATTTGGATAAACAACATATTTTGAAAGGTGTTTCTGATGCTTATAGACTGTCAAGCCCAAAAGTTGTTAACAAGTCCAATGGGGAAGAGGTGGAACTCTTCATGCTACATGTCATGGTTGACCAACCACAAATTATTAAGCTGAATGCACTCCACCTTTCCAAAGATGAGGCAGTACCATAGCCTCTTCATGATCTTCTTAACATTTACATGGAAGTATTCTCTGAACCAACTGCCCTGCCCTCTCAAAGAGGTATCTTCAACCATAGGATCCCATTGCAACCTGGGTCTAAACTAGTTAACATTAGATCTTATAGGTATTCTTCTATGAAAAAGGACATTATAGACCTTATAGAGAAGCTAGTGAAAGGAATGTTGCAGCAAAGGGTGATCCAATACAGTAACAGACCATTCTCATCACTTTTGGTAGTGGTGAAAAAAAAGGATGGTACATGGAGATTGTGTGTGGACTATAGAGAACTAAACCAATGCACAGTCAAGGACAAGTTTCCTATTCTAATTATAAATGACTTACTTGTGCCACTATCTTTTCTAAAATTGACCTTAGGTATGGGTATCACCAGATCGAAATGGTGCCTGAGGATGTTCCTAAGACTGCTTTCAAGACTCACATGGGCCACTATGAATATTTGGTCATGCCATTTGGGCTGACAAATGCACCCTCTACATTTCAGTGTTTGATGAACCACTTGTTCCAACCTTTCCTGAGAAGATTTGCATTGGTCTTTTTTGATGAAATTTTGGTCTACAGCTTGACTTTAGTAGACCTTGTTCATCATTTACAATAGGTATTTGAGGTTATGATCCAACACAAGTTATTATCCAAGAGGTCCAAGTGTGTGTTTGGTGTTCCTAGTGTTGAATACTTGGGGAATTTTATTTCTGCTCAAGATGTGTCCACTGATCCTAAAATGATAGATGCAGTGCAACGGTGGTCTACTCCAACTACTGTCAAACAACTGAAAGGCTTCCTAGGATTAGATGACTGTTACAGGAAATTTATCAAGGGCTATGGACTCATTAGAAAACCCTTGACTGAGTTGCTAAGGAAAGATAACTTTCACTGGATTGTTTCTGCTGATCAAGCATTTGCTGAGCTCAAGAAGGCACTTACTTCTTCCCCGGTATTAGCCTTGCCAAACTATTCCTTGCCCTTTATAGTAAAAACTGATGCACGTGGCACTTGTATTGGTGTTGTCTTAATACAACCTAATCACCCTATAGCTTTCATTAGCAAAGGTATTGTACCTAGACATGTTGCTCTTTCTGTCTATGAAAGAGAACTCTTAGCTTTGGTGTTTGCTGTCACCAAGTAGTCTCACTACTTGCTTGTAATGACCTAATCAATCATTTTGAACATTTGCACTTCGCTCAGTAGTTTACGGACATGATCTCGTATGATGTATTATGACTTATGTGAATCGTCGATTTTGATTTTTTCAGGTTATTCGGAATCGAATTGGAAGAATCGATTTCATTGTTGAAGCTTTAAAGTGGGAGAATTGACCAAGTTTGACTTTTTGTAAATTTGAACCCGGAACGGAGTTTTGATGGTTCCGGTAGGTCCGTTGGGTGATTTTGGACTTAGGAGCATGTCCAGATTGCGATTTGGAGGTCCGTAGTAGAATTTGGCTTAAAATGGCAAAAGTTGGATTTTTGAAAAGTTTGATCGGGAATGGACTTTTTGATATCAGATTCGGATTGTGATTCCGATAATTGAAATAGTTTCGTTATGTCATTTGGGACTTGTGTGCAAAGTTTGACGTCAATCGGATGTGATTTGATAGGTTTCAGCATCGGTTGTGGAAGTTTGAAGTTCAAAGTTCATAGATTTCGATTCTAGGTGTG